TGGCCAAAAAAAAAAAATAATAATAATAATAATAAAATAAGATAAAATAAAAATGGGCTGGGGATTTAGCTCAGTGGTTCCACCTCCTGCCTTGCAAGCGCAAGGTCCCGAGTTCAATCCCTGGTACCAAAAATAAATAAATAATAAAATAAAATAAAATCTGGCCAAGCAGGGCATGGTGGGAACAAACCTGAGAACGGGTGGATTCCCCACCCAAGCTCACACAACCCTCAAAACAATTCTGTGAAGTAGACACTGTGACCCCTGTTTTACAGATGAGGAAACAGAAGCTCAGCAGTTATTAAGCCACGATTCTCACTGACTCCCGGATCCTCATTACCGATTCTCTCTACCCATCCAAATGTGTCCTTCCTCCAAATCTCTGCGCTGTACGCAGGCCCTAGACTGCCAGCCAGCATCCTGTGCATGCTCATGGGTGCACCGGTACAAGTCGCTAAGTTCCTCAAACTGGGCTCGAACGTGCAGTCCTCCTCCCTGAGCCTCCAAACGCTGAGATTACGGGACTGTACCACCGCACCCTGGCAGAACCAGCGCTCTCGATGGAACTTCCGAGTACTTCTCCTGTCACAGTGATTATCCACAGGCTGGGCTCAGAAAACACTGAACACATAAACAAGCCTGGAGTCTCTGAGCCCAAGCACCATAAATCTACTCAAAGCCAGAGAGGCCTGTGTGGAGAGACAGCCCCAGGAAGCAAGCCCAGTCATCCTCACCTATTCAGTGGACCTCCCCGAAGGCTCGGACTGAGCCCCAAGGCAGTCAGCCTGGTACCCCGAGGGGCTCAGCCAGTCCTTCCTCCAGTATGGAACAGGCATGGCTCGTTCTTTGGTTGTGAACCAGATGCAATAGCTAGCTTATGTTTGGGAACCATGTTACACAAAAATGTGTCTCTTTAAACCTTAAAAAGAATGAATATGTGTTCCCTGCTCTGCCCTTCCAATTGTCAGATGGTTCACACATGGTGACAGAAGCTGGGGCAGCCTGCGTGGACCAGGAGATGAATGCGTGGGTTGGAGCAAGGAGAGGCAGGTGATTACACAAACCCTGTTCGCGAGGGGACCTCCTGGAACAGAGTAATCTATTCTACCAGCTCTGGACTGTGTACTTGCAGATTTTTAAGGAGTGAGAAATACGATTCTATTTTCTTTCAGCTACTGTATTTGGAACTGCTTTGTTGAAGCATTTATTTTCTGCCTTTCTTTTTTTATTTGCAAGGCTGGAGATTGAACCAAGGGCCTTGCACATGCTTGGCAAGTGCTCAACCACGGAGCCACACTTCAGCCCCGCTGGTGCACGCATTTTGGACTGCACCTAATTAAAGCAGTGGTGCGGCCTGCCCGATAATTAACCCACTCTGGTCTTTCTGGTAAAAAGAGATATCCACAACTTCCCAACCAAACTGCAAGAGGGACTCTGTCATTATTAATTGAAAAAGTGTCTTGAAAGGGCTACTGGAATCATGCCGAGCACTGAGAACAAACTCACTTCCTGCTTGGGTCCATCACTGAGTATGAAGACGTACCTCAGATCTCCACACAGCCCAGGCTGTTCCTTTCTGACAGTTTGTCTGTGTCAACTCCAGCTTCGCTCCCCTTCTCCAGCTTATTACCTGAATCAAAGAATCCAAGTGGAAAATCTGAAGAGGATATACCCACCCGCGCTCCCTCACAGCTGCCCCTTCCCTCACTCGTCGAACACAGGTCAATGCCGTGTCTGGCACACAGCCTGGCACCACACAGCAAATGGGGTTGTTATTGGCCTGCTGCAGGACCTGGAACAATAAACTCAGTCTGTGTTCCCACGCTTGGGAGCTGAGGAAAGTGTGACCGTGAGGAGAGAGAGCGAGGGCGTGCCCAGTACTCCTGCACAGGAGGATGTCCTGCACACGTCTCACTTTGTGCCTCACCCAGGCAAGCGCATCCCCTCTCATGACCTGTGGTGGACAACAGCTGCAAGATCAATCCCAGGTAGCTTTACTTCATGTTGGACAGGCACCTAATCCCAACACCTTCAAAAAGGCAATGTCTTGCTGGGTTGCTGTGGCGCACGCCTGTAATCCCAGCACTTGGAAGGCTGAGACAGGAAGATTACTGTGAGTGCAAGGGCAGCCTGAATTACAGAGTGAGACTGTCTCAAACAACAAACAAATCAAAACCAAAACAAAACAAAAAACCGGGGCCGGGGATTTGGCGCCTGGTGCAAGGACCTGAGTTCAATCCCCAGTACCAAAAAAATTAATTAAATAAATAAATAAATAAAAAAAACAACCAAAACAAAAAACCTCAGCCTCCCCACTCCACACTGTGCTCCTGGAGTGCGTCCACAGTTCCTGCTACTCAGGAGGCTGGGATGGGACATCACTCCAGTCTAGAAACTTAAAATCAGCCTGGGCAACAGAGCAACACTGTCTCAAAAACATAAAACAAAACTGCTCCTTGTCCTGCTCTCTAGCACACTGAACAGTTATCACCACCCACCAATTCCAGAACTTGGGGGCACCCTGAGCCCTCCAGGTTTTGTCAATTCTACCCCCCAAACCATCTCTCCTGACCTCCTGCCTCTAAGCGAAGGCCACCCTCCTTTTTCACCTGGATCAGTTAGCCCAGCAGCCTCTTCACTGGCTTCCAGGCCCAGTCCCTTAGCTCTTCAACAGGGACCAATGACCTCTCTAGTTCACAAATAAGATCTTTGTTGCTGTGTTTTTTGTCTTTTTTTTGGTACCGGGGATCGAACTCGGGTCCTTGCGCTTGCAAGGCAGGCAGTGGAACCGCTGAGCTAAATCCCCGGCCCTGCTGCTGTGTTTTTGAGACAGGGTCTTGCTACGTAGTCCAGACTGGCCTCAAACTTGTGGCAATCCTCCTGCCTCAGCCTCCAGAGTGCTGAGATGACAGGCGTGCGCCACCACGCCCAGCACAAATTTGATTCTTAATGCTTCTCATTAACCTAAAACTCAAAGCCTTCTACTGGGTTTACAAGGTCTCCAAGACTTAGATACAAAACAGCTCCCTTAGCCTTATCTTAACCCAGTTCTCTCTCTAGGTTTGAGAGACTTGAACTTTCTCACAGCCTGCACCGTCAGCTGAGAATGTTCTGCCCTCCTCCCGCCTCAATTCCTTTTAAACCTCAGCTTTCCGGGGACAGAAGCTTCCCTGGACTCCCAGGCTGAGAGTGTGCTCCACGCTGTCAGAGAAAGGAAGGCTCCTGCTCCTGCACAGCAGCATCTGAACCACCTATTTTTCTGTCTCTCCGGAGCACAGGGGTCTCTGGGCTCCATCCAGCTGATGATAGAAATAACTGCAACACACACATTTATTCTGTAACCGTGGGAGTTCTAAGCACCCATTACCTCATTTAACCTTTATAAAAAATTCCTAGGAAGTAGGGTGTTTATTTTATTTATTAAGACAGGGTTTCACTATGTAGCTCACGCTGGCCTTGAACTACGTAGCCCAGCCTAAACTCCAACTTGAGGATTCTCCCGCCTCAGCCTCCTGAGTGTTGGCATTACCGGCGGCGTATACCACCACGCCCGGCAAAACTTCACTGTCATCTCGGCTTTAACTATGGAGGAGGAGGAAAGTGAGGCAGAGGAGGCAAGCTTAACGTGCCTAAGCACACAGCCCCGAGCCGTTACCGTGCACG